TGTGTGTGTGTGGGGGGGGGGGGGGGGGGGGGGGGAGTGCTTGCTTGAAAAGCAATGGCTTTGTGTGCACAGGTCCTTTGTATTATTTGTCTCTCAGTATGTGGGAGTGGGGTTGATTCCAGATCCACCCTAAGACACCCAAATCACAGGATGCTCAAGTCCCTTATAATGGTGGCATAGTTGTGGGTGACTTAGGCATGCCCTCCCTCACACTGTTCGATTGTGGGTGACTTAGGCATGCCCTCCCTCACACTGTTCGATTGTGGGTGACTTAGGCATGCCCTCCCTCACACTGTCCGATTGTTTGTGGTATTGGGAATGGAACCCAATGCCTCTTGTAAGCTGGACAAGTGCTCTGTCTGCTACTAAGTTATGTCCCCACCCCCTTACACTTTACCCTATTTCTAGATTCTTCTAAAAACTAGTGTAGTATGAATGCTATGTAGCTGTTGTATTAAGGAATAATGACAAGGGAAGAGACATTCATATAAATTTAGTACAAATGCAAATTTTTGATGGTGCTGAAGATAAAACCCAGGGCTCTCAAGTGGGCTAGACACTCACCTACCACTAACCTCTGTCCCTAGGGTCCTGCACACGTTTAACTTGTGGGTGGTTGAGTTGGCAGATATGAAACCTGAGGACGGAGGTCAGACTGTGTCTAAAAACAGATCAGACAGGTGAGTGTGGAGAGAAGCCGGTCAGACTCCGCTTCTTTCTTTCCTGCAGCTCCGGGGGCCTCCGGAGTCCATCTGCAGTAGAACAACCCAGCCAGGGCGCATTTCCCAAGATTCCGCAACAAGGTCATGAAAGAACTCTGAGTACTCTAGCTCCAGCACTAGGTCTAACCGTTTAAGGTCCCACATGCTGCCCTGGGGCTCAGTGTCCTACACAAGGAAATGGTTGTTTGGTACAGTCGGCAAGTACAGGCTAGCGGCGTGCTAACAGTTTGCAGCTGCCATCTTGTTCAGTGTCCACAGCACTGGGTAAAGCTTTTTCTTTTCTTTCTCTTCCTTCCTTCCTTCCTTCCTTCCTTCCTTCCTTCTCCTTTCTTTCTTCCTTTCTTCCTTCCTTCTCCTTCCTTCCTTCCTTCCTTCCTTCCTTCCTTCCTTCCTTCCTTCCTTCCTTCCTTCCTTCCTTCCTTCCTTCCTT